AAACTGAACTAGGGCATACTCCAAAAACAAACTATGTTGTACTCAAAACAAAGAACAACTTTTATTAAAGGACCAAGGTCTGGATCAGCTCGGTTTGCAAGATATAAAGCTCCAAAGTAGGGTACCCGCAGTTCAACCTCGATTAGGACTTAGCCAAATTCTGGGCTCCAAAACAACACTTTGTATTGAATCTTGTGAGTTCCATTTGACTAGGTTAGAGGCCAAACTAACTCTTGACCATTAAATAAAGTTTGTTCTACACAAGATGAACTACAACTTTTGTTAAAGGAGAAACCTCATAACTGGTACAGAACCTACTGTTCTACTTTGACCAAAATAGGATCACGATGAAGCTTAAATTATCCTTTTTGATCCATTGGAGCATTTTCTGGCCACCTTCTCAACATGAACCCTTCATAACTTTTGTTCATGAGTGCAAGTAGAGTTGTTTGAGTAAGGTACCAAGGTTTGGTTGACTTCATAGGTTTCCATCCACTTGATAAAGCAATTCATGCTAAGATATGACTTATCATTTCATGTGACTTTTTGATTCCAAACTTCATGAAACTTTTCCACGGGTCTAGATGGATGCATGGGGATGTAATGTACATGGAATAAGCATGTTTAACATTACTCTTGCATAATCTTAACAAGGGTCCATATGTAAGCAATGTGCGTGGCCCAAGTTTAAGTTGGAGCTCCATCATGTAAATTTGATCTTGACACCTTGATTACCACTTGACATGTCATGTTTGAGCTCAAACCCAGTGCTTAACTGGTGATAAACACCTGGGGTGTTACAGGTACTACGCAAAATTTTTTGGAATCTAAATAGGCCCTTATTTTGGAAGCTAGGAAATGAGTTCGTGCATGGATGCTTTTGTGCTGATACTTCCTCCGCCCCCGTCGCATAAGTATATAATCTAGATTTATTCTAAATAAAAATTATTAAAGTTTAATTAATTCTATAAAAAGATATTAATACAACCCAACCAATGTTATTATATTCGTCAAGGAGAATATATTTTTATAATAATACATATAGTTGAAATGATGAGTGGTGATGATATTTTTACAAACTCAGTTAAATTTAAGATTAATTAACTCTAAGGTGGTACTTTAGTTGGGGTTTAATTAGATGATAGATGAGCATGCATGCACTACCAAGGCAGCTGCCGCGCCGTATGCAGCCATTTTTCATTTCATTTGTGTACTGGCGCTTTCTCATCGGACTGTGACAGCCTGAAGAGTAGTTGAGAGATAAGGCTGCACTTGGCTGTCTCAGGATAAGCATCCTGCTCCTGCCTGTAACCTGTGTATTGGTAGGCAAGTAAAGCTTTATTCTTAGTGCGTACTAGTAGGGTTTAAGGATAGATTAGACTAACTTTTCGGTGGATCCAACGGAAAAACGTTCGACGAAACGAAACTGCTATGGCGGCATGCGCTACAATGTTCTTACCAGTGTGCTTCAGCGTTGCTATCCATCTTGTAAAAGCGAAAGGAGCCCTCGTTCCTACTCTTCTTTACCCTGCCTAGTCGGTAGGTAAGGTTCAAAACGGACAGAAAAAATCACGTTCCGACCCGTTCTGTTTTTTACTTTCTTCCATCCGTTTTCATATTTATGGGATCCCGTTTTCGTATTTACGGACCATGAGATCCCGTTTTTATTCAGAATTGACCCGTATTTATTCCGTTTTTCATCCCGTTTTCAATCTATGTGAAATATGTCTAGAAATTAATATGTCCATAAACCTACTAATCACAAATTATGTATGTTAACATGTTAACACATGGTATACTAGTGAATATTAGACCGATAATTTCGTACGTGTATATTATTTTGTGACTTTGTTCATGTATACTAAGAATATTTGATCATGTTATTCTAACTTATTTTTCCGGCTCTCCGTCCGTATTTGTATGTTTTCGTATTTCCATATATCCTCATCCGTTTTTTTTCTGAACCCGATCCCGTTTTCGTTAAAAATATAGAAACGGAAATGGGAGAGGAGTTTTTTCGCCCGTTTTCGTCCGTTTTCATCCCTACCGGTAGGCGGTAGCTAAGCAGGGGCCTCGGTATCTCAAATTGCAAAAATAGATACCTATACTAAAAGACTTTTCTTTCTTTTTATGCTATCGATGAGATAAAAAAAACCATCATTAGGGAAGGTTTAATTAATTGCTTTCTAGGTTTTCACTAATTGCTTTACAGCAGTTTTCCCAAGCCTCCTAGTAAAGAAAGGTTAGAATCGTCCATCAGCTTCTGCCTAAGTATTTGTTTTCATTTCTTTGATTGGGCATCTAAGCTTCCTTTCTATTATATCTAATGCCCATAGCTGATTTGATTTTGGATTTGTCTATTCTTTTTCTTTTTAAAAAAGCTTTATTTGCGCGCGAGAGTTGAACAAATAGCATAGCCTCTGGCATGTTGGCCCTAGTAAATTAAAGGGGAGCACTTGGTAGCTGTCGGTGGAAAGATGGAAATTGGTTCTAAAAGAGCCAAGCTAGGGATAAGAGATATGATTGCTTGGCATAATGTAATGAATGCGATTCTAACGGGAACTGGAAAAAGAATAGTTCCCAATACAGGGCCCAAAGAAGAGAGACAAAAGGAAGTAGTGAAAGGGAAAGTCAAGTACACAGATCAAAGTGAAAAATCACATAGCTACTAAGTCAAAACGTCCAATGAGAATCAAGATCAAGAAGGACATGAATCCATTAGCAGGTCTATTAGTTATTTCATTATTGGCATTCCTTAACCAATAGAAACAGAAAGAGATCACAAGCATTAACGGACCCAAGGTAGCAGAGGGTGCAGTGCAACCATCCCCTACCCTGTTCTGATTCCTACTCGTGTGTACCTAGCAGTGTATTTATTTAAAAGCTATTTTTTAAGAAATGCCTAATGTTTCAATAAAAGAACTAAAATTATATCGCACATGATAAAAAACCACGCGCACCCGAATTTCCCATCTTTTCTTCTTTTATGGCATCTTCTCTACCTCCGACAATGTGCGGTGGCAGGAAGCCAGGAAGGCTAGGTGAATGAGCGGCCGTAGGGCCAAGTAGGGTTGGAGGAATTAGCTCCGACAATGAAGATTAGCAAATCACGCACAGGGTACCATATGTCTAGTGGAGAGTATATCTCGATGTTGACAAGGGACACCGATGGCTATGCGAGCCTAATTGCCTAATATGCTAGGGTTGCAATGGCGTACTGAATGAGCGCTCCTTGCCTCAGCTTATATAGTTCAGGAGGCAGGGTTACAGATCCGATCCCATCCGATTGAGATATAGATTTGCTATTCGGTTACAAGGAGATTTCCTAATTGCCTAATCGGTTACTTTGGGTTTATCTTGATCTCCAAGCTTCATTTGGCTGATTGTTTGTCCACCAAGTCTGATATTGTACCTCGTTCTGGTTGGTCCTCGTATTCGATTGCCTCGGACCACGCTACTTGGAGTGGGCTCTCTTTTATAGACGGCAAGGTACACTAGAGTCCATATCTTTGATAGGTAGCGATGTTGTTGTGGCTACTAGGTGTGTGAAGTGGAGAGAGCCAATTGAGCAAGCCAGAGGCCAATGGCTTAGATGTCATGAGTTGATGGGTTAGCAACGGATCCAAGAACGAAGGGCTCTCAAAGGCAAAAGACATGTGTGGCGGAGGCATCACACAGAGATGATGTCCAATGGCGAGCCCCTTGGGAAGATGAAGTGAAAGAAAAAGATAACCTCATTGGATCTTGATCAAAGGGCCAGAAAGAATCGGGTGTGGAGGAGAAAAATTGTCTGGCGTGTGGTGTGTAGTGCAGACAAGTTCTTAAAGGAATATTTGTAGGTTTAGAGGATTCTTCGGTAGATAGCCGAGCTTGCCATCATCTTTTTGAAATACATGTTGCTGCCCTTATCCAACTTGCAAGGACTTAGACCGTCTCCAACAAGGAACGCATATGGGAACCCAAACCCAAAATGGATAGCGAGAGACCCAAAATCAGCCTCCAACAGAGTACCTATACGGAAGACCTATTTTGGGTTGTCTGAGAGGCACAACCCAAATATGGGCATCCTCTCTCCTAGAAACTCATTTGCAGAAATGATTCTCTTTTGAGTCCTATTGTTGGAGAAGATGTTGAATAGACATTGAACGCTTTGCCTGTAACGTTACCCAAAAGATGAATGGGTCTTGTATTTTGGGTGGTGGTGTTGGAGATAGCTCAGGACTTCCAAAGTGCTTGAGGAGGTACCTCAGCTCAGAAGCTGGATGGGATCATCCGATCCAGGTTTATCCACACGGCCACACCTCAGAAACTGGATGTTTCCGTGCAGAACTCGGGAAGCCATTGCTCTGTGCCTCTGGCCTGTGCCGACAGAGTGAGCTGAGGCCGACGGCGTGGAGTCCGGCCGGTACGCCAGCAAAAGCACAAACGAAAAGCACGCGCAGGTTTTGCATCAGCGCACGCGCGTGGCCGCCTGATTTGCACGCCCAGCAGGTCAGCACGGCCAAGCCGAACAAGCAACAAGTGCATGCGCAACAAGCGTACGATACGAACACAGATATTTCTCATGCGAACTTTTGGAAGGCCAGGCAAGGCCCACCGTAAAGTGACCCGGAACCGACCCTCCGCTCCAACCGCCCTCCCCGCTATAAAATCTCCTTCCCCGGCCGCTTCCGCCGGGGAGCTTTCCACTTCACAGCCGATGACCCTACCAGAAACCGACCCGGTCCGGCTCGTGCGCGAGAACGTCCATCAAAAAGGCCGCCGGATCACACTGATCACAAGCCCCAAATTTTCCCAAACCAAGTTAGCTGCGGAGTGAGTGCTAAAGCGCTCTCTGCTGGACTCTGGTCGCAGCTGCAGCGTCCCCTCCCTTTTTGCCATCGAGCATCGTCACCTGTGCCGCCGGCGCGTAATTGCACCGGGGTCACTGCTTAAGAGGAAGAGCAGGAGAGGCAGGGGCGTTGGGGGTCTCGTCGAGCGGTGCGGGACTGGGGGTGCCCATGGGCGTGCACGCCAGGTCGATGAGCTGGTACATGAGCCCGCCGGGCTCGCCGGCGCCGGGGAGCGCCGCCGAGGCGCAGCACGCGCTGAGCAGCAGCCCCGGGGGCAGCAGCGACGCCAGCTTCGACACCAACATGGTCATCATCCTCGCCGCGCTGCTGTTCGCGCTCCTCTTCGCGCTGGGCCTCAACTCGCTGGCGCGCTGCCTCATCCGCTGGGCGCGCCGCGCGCCGGCGGCGGCGGCAGGGGAGGCCGGCGGCGCGGGCGGGCTCAAGAAGCGCGCGCTCCGGAGCATCCCGGTCGAGGTGTACGGCGCGTGCCGCGCCGACGGGGCCGCGGCCGTCGCCGCCGACGTCTGCGCCATCTGCCTCGGCGAGTTCGCGGACGGCGAGAAGGTGCGCGTGCTGCCGCGCTGCGCCCACGGCTTCCACGTCCGCTGCGTCGACACCTGGCTCCTCTCGCACGACTCCTGCCCCACGTGCCGGGGCTCCGTGCTCGACGGCGCGAAGGCCGCCTCCTCCGCTCCCGCTCCCGCCACCGGGGGCAGCCGGCGGCAGGGCAGCGACGCTGCTGCTGCTGCTGCCATCGCCATCGTCATCGGGTGACGTGGACGGGAGGGGCCCTCGTGCGTGCCCACTGGTGGTGGAGCCACACGGCAGGTATGCGAGAGCTTCGTTCCGTGGTCCGTGAGATATTTTGCTGTGAGAGGCCGACGAGTGGGCCTGGCTCTCTTTGTAGCTCCCTAGGTCGTAGTCTAGTCAAGATTGCAGCATGTCCTTCACGATATCTATCCCTTAGGTCTGTACTTGTGCTTGGCTTGCTCGTCCACGTCGCAGCTGGTCCTGTTTGTGTATACTGGGAGTGGATGACGGCGACGGGTACGCCGCTATAAGCAGCCAGGCTTGCAATAATACAGTTTAGTTTGTAGTTTGTACATGGTCGATTTGGGCCTTGTTTAAATTAAGGATGTAAAGTTTTAGGTGCTACATCGGGTGTTATATGGGGTGTCGTATGGGGTGTACGGATACTAATAAAAAAACAAATTATAGAATCCGTCAGTAATGCACGAGACGAATTTATTAAACTTAATTAATCTATCAGAAGCACATGTGTTATCATAGCACCACATTGTCAAATCATGAACTAATTAGGCTTAAAAGATTTATCTCGTAAATTAGTCATAAACTGTGCAATTAGTTATTTTTTAATGTATATTTAATATTCTATGTATGTGTTAAACATTCGATGAGATAGGACCTTGACCCAATTTTGGAGCACCGAGCAGACCACGGAGGACACCTATTTTGCAGGTCACTCGATTTTGAAAACTATTTTCCTTTCTTTTTTCATATTAGATACGTATTAGATTTTGGATATCATACCTACTCGAGTACTACTAGTATAGTAACCGAAATGATTTTGGCATGTCGAGACCGAAATGGTTCCATCAATCACACGGGTGGATCCAGTGGGCTGTCCGGGTATGGCAAGGCATACCCTAAGCCCAGCCCAACAAGAGACATACCTATCTGTAAAAAACAAACCGTGTGAGCAGGCCAGCACCCGTCTCCTCTCTGCGACTCCGCATCGCACAGCGTAGGCGCGCTGTCCCCGCCACTGCCCTGCCACCCCCGCCCCCGGCCGCCCGGCACGGCGGCACCCGGCCACCCCTGCCGGCTACAACAAGGCACAGGCCGTAGCCGTGCGGCGGCGCGGCCGACGGCCGCCCCGCGCTTGGCGCCTTGGCCAGAGGCGGGAGGCGCCAAGCGCCCTGTCCGGCTGTCCCCTGCGGCCCCACCCCACTGACCAACTCCCTCTGTGCGCCAGCGGCCGGCGCATCCTCCGGCGACCAGCGTTCCTTCCCTCCAGCTGAAGCAAACTAGCAAAGGTATCAGGTATGGGTATCAGTCCGAAGCAATTTCCCCAAAAATCTCTAACCCTAACTTCCATCTGTTTTAATTTATGTATTTAGTTGTTGTTCAATTTCTCCTCAAATTAGTTGATTAGTTAAACTTATACAATATGTGCTTGTGATTTGTAGGATTTATGATTTGTGAACTATGAAGAGAGATGGGGACATTGTATCTATGCTCCAGAAACATGCTGCAAAGAAACGTGCTTCTTCAACTCCTGTTGTGGAAGAAGAAGAGATAATAATTGAAGAAATTGTTGATCCTTCTGTGGAACCAGCTGAAGACGTGACAGCTGCTGTAGAACCAACTCCTGTGCCTGCTGTGACTGATGTGTTGCCACCAACACCCCCACAGCCACCTTCAGGTTATGATGTTGATCGCCTTCCACATGATCCAGGTGAAAGGTTGCCCATTGCAAGTTATCATGCTAATGATCAAGATGCAGTTAGGAGAGCATACATTCTTAGAGGGCCATTTCAACTTTATGCTCATGAGTTTCAAAAAGGAAAATTGGGGATAGAGATCGAAATTTCACATGTATATGGTTTGCCAAATATGATTGGGTAGAATATAGCATCAAGAAGGATTCTGTGTTTTGCTTTGTGTGCTACTTGTTCAAAAACAAGAAATACAAGGGCAAAGGGACATATGCATTTATTGTAGATGGATGGAGAAATTGGAATGTGGGAGATACTTCACTTTTGAAGCATATGAAGTCTAAGGCACACAAGGATGCTCAAGAGAAGAACGTTGGCTTTATGAATCCTAATGCAACAATTGATAATAAAATTGAGAAGTGGAGTGATGAAGAAATAAAGCATTACAAGATCAGATTGACTTATTCACTAAGATGTATCAAGTTTCTTTTGCATCAAGGGTTGGCTTTCCGTGGACATGATGAAAGTGAAGAGTCTAGCAACAGAGGCAACTTTATAGAATTGTTGAAATTTCTTGCAGTAAATAGTGAACAAGTGAACAAGTTTGTGCTCAACAATGCCCCGGGTAATTGCTCATTAACTAGCCCAATGATCCAGGAGCAAATTATTTTATGTTTCGCCATAGAGATTAGAAAGAAAATAATTGAAGAGATTGGTGAAGATCGCTTTGCTCTCTTAGCTGATGAGTCTAGTGATGTGTCACATAAAGAACAACTAGCCCTATGCTTATGTTTTGTTGATAAATTGAGAAGACCATGTGAGCACTTTATTGGAGTAGTTCATGTAGATGATACTACCTCTTTATCACTTAAGGAAGCAATTGAAGCTGTACTTGTTAGTCATGGCTTGACTATAACTAGCATCCGCGGTCAAGGCTATGATGGGACTAGCAATATAAAAGGAGATATTAAAGGGTTGAAAACATTGATCATGCAAGAGTCACCTTCTGCTTATTATGTCCATTGTTTTGCACATCAGCTCCAACTAGTTCTTGTTGCCATTGCATTTGAGTCATTTGATTTGGTGTTTAATGCACACTTGTTGTTTGTTATTCTTGGATATACAAATGAATTATCTGAGTGTTTGCAAAGGAGGGAACAAGATATTATTCATGCAATCCAACTTATTAATATGGCAAAAAACAGAATGCAACATTTGAGGTCTAATGGATGGGATCAATTCCTTCAAAAGGTCACTTTGTTTTGCAATAAACATGGTGTCAGAGTTTCTGATATGGAGGCTAATTATGTGCCTTATGGAAGATCAAGAAGATTTGTCCAAGATCAAACAAATGATGATCACTTTAGAAGAGAGGTATACATTGGGGTTATTGATAAAATCAGTCATGAGCTTGACAATCGGTTTGATGAGGTTAATATGGAGTTGCTTTCTTGTATGTCTGCCCTCAACCCTTTCAATTCATTTGCATCATTTGATGCACAGAAGGTACGCCGACTTGCTGAATTCTATCCTAAGGACATATTTGGCTCCGAATTGCTAAGGCTTGAATTGCAACTTGATACCTATATTGATGTCATGAGACAAGATGATAAATTTAGTGGTCTAGAAAACCTTATTGACCTCTTAGTTAAGCTAGTGGAAACAAATAGGCACAAAGTTTATGATTTGGTTTATTTGTTTATCAAATTGGTATTGCTTCTACCGGTGGCGACGGCAAGTGTTGAGAGGGCATTTTCTGGAATAGATTTGTCAAAACCAAGCGGAGAAACAAGATGACTGGTAGTCTCTTGGATGATTGCCTTGTCACGTTCATTGAGAGAGACATTTTGGATGAAGTAGATAAAGACGACGTAATTAAGACTTTTATGTCCATTAGAAAGCGTAGGCCAAAAAGGAGTGTTGTGATCTTATTTGGTCAAGTTTCTATCATGCATATTCTAAACTATTAGTGTGCTATTTGAACTATTTGTATCTTCATTTTAGACTTACTATGCTATTTAATAGTCGTGTATTGAATTGTGAGGCAATTTTTATAATACTCTACCGAATTGTATAATGGATTTTACCGGTTTGCATATAAAAATTTTGGTTCGGCATACCCTACACAAAAATCCTAGCTCCGCCATTGATCAATCATGTGCTCTCAAATTCTCCACGGGATTGAGGTGCTGTCGTGATAATAACGCTGAGGGTAACGACCGGGACCGACAGCGATATTGCCTTGAAATAAATTGACGGCTTGGCGCCAACTTGATCGATTATTCACGCTAACAAGTGTTGTACAACAACAATCAGTCATCAAATCATATCGTAACAGCTGGCCAGAAAATAGTATGCATGAAACGATAGCTCTGAAGGTGTTGCCAAACTTGCTACAGTGTCAGGTTAAGGTTTAGCTTGAACTTATCAGTCTGACTTATCAGCCATGAAACAGTGTTTTCTCTCACAACAAATCAGCTTCAACTGATTTATCAATCGCAGAAAACCATCAGCCGAATAACATTGTCTCTGCACATGTTGACGTGCAATGCAAGCCACACCGACAGTCTGTTACGCAGCAGAGGAGCTTAGACGGAACAAAGAGAGAGTAGTCCATGCACATTGATGATTGATCTATATATAAACACCCATAAAACTACTGATAACTCATGAAGATTAAGTTAGGTAAGACGGCTATGGCCTAGCTTGACCTCAACTAAGCTCCACTCCTGCTGCTATGTAGTCTCTACCATTTACTAGGTTACCGCTTGTGCCATTAAAATTCATAAGAATATGATATATTCGATTTTCTACATCACGGGCTACTTGGACGCATATATAGATCGGTGCATTTATGTATGGACAAAAATGCTCCTGTTACTATATCCCTCTCTTCAATCGCTCACACATAGGTTCCACTTGCGTCCCCTTCCTCACTCCCAACCCCAATCCTCCACTCCTGATATGCCATGCCGGCCACCGCCATATCCATCGTCTGCCTCGACGTCTGTGTGCTCACCTCGACGATGGTGCGGTTGGATCGGCATGGCCGCTCGCCCCGCGTCGATGCGGCTGCCGCTCGCCCAGTGCAAGCACCACCGAAGCCCATGCACAATGTGCAGCCACTACGCTAGATTTCTAGTTATCATATCTCTAGCCCCAGGAGCCTCAAGTGTTCGACGATGACGAGAAGGTGAAGCCGCCCTTTGAAGTTCGCATATGTTCGATCAAGTCCGAGCGTCACGAGTGTTGCGTCGATGAGGATGACCACTCTACTTCTATTCGTGTTGGCGAGCTCTACGCGGCGGCGTGGCTGGCTCGGCACGGCCGCCCATGCGCTCTCCCGGGGTGACTAGCCCAGCAGGGCTGCCCGCTTACCCACGCGCTCTTCCCGTGGAGGCAGGGCTGCCCCGATGCGGCCACCTGCCCACTCACTCCCCCAGCTGGCTCGGCATGGTGTCCAGCGCTCGGCGGGAGAAGACGAGAAAGAGATTCTACATGGGTCTAACGAGTGGCCCCATATGTCAGCGAGAAGGAGAGACAAACAGAGAAGAGATATTTTTCGTCCGTACGAAAATATAGAGATGTTCGTAGATTTGGGCTTAAGACACGGAGAACATATAAAATGGCATATTTTCAAGTTGTATAAAAAAGTCAGTATAACAGAAATTTTGTGGTCCGGACACCGCACTTCCTAGGCCTACGTGCTACCAGCCCAACAGGCATGCTGCTGCCCTCTACCTTCCTTCACGCTTCTAAAAAAGACAACGACATTTCTCAACTTGCACAGCAGCCACGACGTTTCCCACCGATCGCCCGCCGCTCGCCTTTCTCCAAGGTAATTGCCGCATTGCGGCTTTCTCCAGCCATGGGCGCCTCGCTGCATGGCATGACACCCACACCTGCGCGACCTTTCTCCCAAGACGGGGCGCCAGCGAAGGTCACACACCACCGATCCGCCGCTGCCACCTCCACTGCGGGTGCCGCTCACCGGGGGGCGCACAGCCGCCTGCCCACTACTATCCTCCTCCACCGCGACCTAGCGCCGGATCTCGCTGTGTAGGCTCCGCCCGCCCCCTTGCTAGGTTTTGCTGAAAGCGTATGTTGTAGGAGTAGTGTTTCAGATGTTTCAGAGGTATGTTGCAAGTGTTGTATATCGATGTTGCAAAAGTAGATCGGATGTTGCACTGTTACGATGGCTATACACATATCTTTAAGTGTATGTTCCAAATATTTCATCTGCCTAAACGTATGTTGCAAGTGTTTTATCTAGATGTTGCATATACATGCATGTTACAAGCATATGTTTTAAGTGTTTTAGGTGTTTCAACGTACGTTGCAAGTGTTTTATCTGAATGTTGCATATATTTGCAGTGGTTTTCAAGTGTTTTTAGACGTTTTTGCAAGTGTTTAAGAAGCTTGTTTCAAGTGTGGGCAACGTTTGGGGCGACATTCGGGGCGGCACAGGCCCGTTCTTGGGTGCTCGCTCGCTCGCTCTGCGGGCACCGTCCAGAGGCTAGCGCCCCGGATCGGACATATGAGCACTTGCTAGTCAGTTAGTATAACAAATTTCTATATGTACTTTTTTGGGTGTACAGTGGTTGGAGGTTCTCAGCGTGGTACGTTTTTCTGGGGAGACTAGGCCATATTCACTTTGCTGAAAAGACTAGCTAAAAATACTGTTAGACGAGAAATAGTGAGAATCGTCTGGTCCTGTTTGTTTCTCTTATAATCCGTATTTTTCAGCTTATTTTTTTCAACCAGAACAGTATTTTTCTCTCATAATAAATTAGCTGGAACAATATTTCAGCCGTTGGGTCTAATTAACCCAGTATTTTTAGATCAGACAAGTCTGCTGAATCTTCCGGCGTGAGCCCGTTACCTCGGTGTACCTCCCTGCTGCAACCCTCCCTGCCTTGCTTTCTTCGGTTCTTCCAACCCCCGGCGTGCGCTCTCTCCTCTCTCTTGGCGACGACTCGGCGCCCGGCGCTGCTGCCCCACGCCAGGTGCCCAGGTCTTCTTGGGGCCCTTCGCCGGCGACGAGCACCACCAGGTACGTCCGCCCCTTGTTTTCCCTTCCCGCTGTGCGAAACCGAGCACCCAAACCCTAACTTACTATTCGTGCTCGGATCTGATCTGATTACAAGCGCATATGCATGTATTATGCCTACTAACTTCAATTCTTTTGCAAAATTATCGGTTGTACATGCGTACACCCATGTCGTTTACTGGATCCGCCCCTGGGCTTCTATGGCAGCTGAAAGATGGCGAGGATACCGTCTCTGAAGAGCCTCAATGCGTTTCCACATGCGGAGGAGCACTTGTTGAAGAAGACTTACTCTGGCGCTGTCGGTATGATCTATGGGGACCCTATTGTTCTGTAATTGTTGCAAATGATTGCTTAAGTATATGGTTTCGAGGTTGGCCTTTAATTTGCACATCATCGATATCTTGGCAGTGACAATTCTTGGGCTACTTATAATGATTACACTGTTCGTGCATGAGCTGCAGTTTTATCTTACCACCTACAACGTGCATCAGGTATGATTGGTCACAGCTTATATTTTTCATGTTTGACTGCTATATGCAACTTTTCAATGTAATATTCACAGAGACTTTGTTCTCCCCTTCAAATATCTTTTAGTTTTTTTTCCTGAGGCACAGTGAATATGCCTGTAGAAAATAGGGCCTTATCCAAAGTAAATGCTTCCATTTCTTTTTCGAGATAATTCTGGTTGGCATGTGGGGGCTGAGTTCAAGCATCATCCAACAACCTGATCAAAGAATTATTTTGATGGGAATTCATTTATTTGATATGAAACATTACTATAAATCAATTTCGTTGTTCAACTATGTTTTCTGATGTTGTAGTTTCTGTTAATTAGCATTGATGAGATTATGGCAAAGTCATTTTCTTTTCATTGAGCTTATCCTTCCCAACATCTGTATTATGAACCCTTCGCCAGTTGATACTGTCTGCAGTTATCATTGATGAGATTATGGCAAAGTCATTTTCTTTTCATTGAGCTTATCCTTCCCAACACCTGTATCATGAACCCTTCACCAGTTGATACTGTTTGCAGATGTCTGTAGATCTGAAACGAGGAGAAACTCTGCCAATTCATATCAATATGTCATTTCCTTCTTTGCCATGTGAAGGTCAGTTATTAACTCCAGTAATTCACCAATTAGTATTTTGTGACGAGTCTTTCATTATTTTTGATATATCTGTCTCTGTGTCTTGATTGTTTAGTATTGAGTGTGGATGCAATTGACATGTCTGGGAAACATGAAGTTGATTTGCATACAAATATTTGGAAGGTAACATCTCTTGAAAAAAATTCATCCCTTCCTGCGTGTGTATTTTTTTTAAAAAATAATACAGTCGCTGGACTAATGAAGAAACATTGCATCTGTAAGTATTATTGAGTGCATATGCTTACCAGGTAGAAGTTGGCAACGAATAGATTATGATGGCAAGTTGTTTTTTATATGTTAATGTACAAATGCTGAGGATATGTACTTTTACAAGCTTTGATTTGTGTCTTGGTGCAGTGTAGACAATACTCTTCATATGTATTTCCACGTTAATAGGTTTCCCAATCCCACCAAAAATTGTATTATGTTTTGTAAAAAATGTTCTAGTGCCTTCCTCTAATGTCTAATACTTTTTCTCTTGCTTTATATTTGCGTAATACAGCTTCGCTTGGATAAGTATGGCCATATCATCGGTACAGAGTACTTGTCTGACCTAGTTGAAAAGGAGTATGGGGCACATCATGATCATGGTATACACTTCTTCCTGCAAGGACCAAAAAAAACATAGAATAGTGATAATTACCATATGAAATACTTTTTTATCTGCATCATGTATGTCCTTTTCTTATTTTACCCAACTAGCAAACATACGTGTGCATAGCAACGGGTACAGCTTGTTACGTAGTCACATGGGCAATTTAAGGCTTGGAGATGTATTCAATGATTATGTCATCTGTTGCAATTCGTCTTGGAATTGGACTTCGTACCGTTGCTGGACATGTGCTGTTGTAACTCGTATCAGCACGAATGGTGAGTCCAGGTCACATATGGGACAGGGAGGGGCGTGAGGGCATTGTGGGAAGTAAAAAAAGACGGTTGGAAGAGTTTCTTCTGTCTTTAATATTAGCTATAGATATAAATAGATGTAGGAAAAGTGCAGCTGCAACTTAAGTATATTTTTCTGCTGTAAATATGTTCAGTTGGCATGTGGTGTTGTTGGTTACCCTGGCGATTTAGGCTTCAACCCAGTGCCTACCTCCATAGAAGCTGGAAGTCCTAGCTGTTTACTCTTCCAAAACAGAAAAAACTGGCACTGGTAATCTATAACTGACAGAGAAGCGCATGTTCTCAGTCTTGATTGTCATGGGAAAACCTGTATACAATAACAATGACTAAATTGTTGGACCAAAGATATTTCTATTGGAATCTCATATGATGGTTGGACATGAACAGACCATGGGCAAGAGCATCATGATGAACAAAAGAAGCATGAACAAACCTTCAACGAAGAAGCAGAGAAAATGATCAAGAGTGTCAAACAAGCACTGGGAAATGGTGAAGGGTGTCGAGTATGTTATTCATCTACTGGTTCTTATTTAATTTACAGAATGGTGTTACAGGCATTGTGTCGGTGTTTCGTACAAGCACCGGCAAGTGAATTTATAGTAATGCGCGTTAGGCTCGGATGGTGCGCTAAAGGACACAGGATTTATACTGGTTCGGGCGAAACGTCCCAACGTCCAGTTTGTTGCTGCTTGTGTTATTAGCACCAGTAACGATCCGTAGTAAGGGATACAACCGCGCGAGAGAGGGACCGGTCCCAAGTCTCGATCGAAGGATTGAAAGGTGGTCAAGAGCTTCAGAGTCGCTTGAATGTGTGTGAGTGCGTTCTATTGTTTTTGTCCTCCTTTTCTTCCCTCCCTCCTCGATGGAAGAAGCGCATCCCTTTTATAGATGAAGGGCCGACTTTACAAGGGTAAGGGCTCCGGGACGCGTACTCTACTTAATCTTGTGGCTCACGCGTCTACAGTCGTGGTCCTCCACTCGATGAGTGCGAAGGAAGATAAGTGTTTACAATGTTGTCGATGTCTCAGAGGATGTCGGGTTAGTCACGTAGAACGCTTCGCCTCGCTGCAGGGTATGGGCTGCAGTACAGTGGTTTTGACTTATGAGCCTCCCCCAGCCTTGCTCCGCACGCCTTCTGGTTCTCATGAGTCCTTGTTGGGAGAATGCGGGTCTGGGGTCCGGTGTAACGCCGTGGTCAAGGCCTTCGACCGGGAGAGGACTCGAGGGTCTGGAAGCGGGCGCCGCTCCCTCGGGTCCACCGTGTGGTGACGGAATACCCATCGTTCGTGGAGATAGCAAATCCTTTCCCTGGAGCGTAGCGGTTGTCGATATATCTTCGTCGGGTTCCGTGTCCCAGAGTCAAGGCGGCGCCTACAACTTGACAGGTGAGGTGCACGACTGTAATACCTTTTGGGCTCTGCTGGCGCCCGGAAGGGTCTAAAGCTTCACCTGCTGTTCCTCGGCAGTCCTTTTTCTGCCAGGCGCAGGTATGGTCGTTGGAGCCATGGTTGACCCAACGTCTTGTCTCGTCCCTGCACCCATCATTATGAGGGATAGATATCGATCGTATGCGAGGCTCGCTCTGGGGCCGTCGGGTGGTGACCCCGCCCTCCCGGGTGGGCAAGCGAGAGACGGATTCATCCTCGGCCCTCGGGCGAGACCGAGCCCGCCTCAAGGCGTGGGCGAGGCGGAGTTTATCCTCGCCCTCGGGCGAGACCGAGCCCGCCTATAGGCGCGTCAGGCGAGACGGAGATTAGCCTTGAGCTTTTGGGGCGAGGCGGGGTTATCCTACAAAGGCGTCGGGCAGGTCGACCCGCCCTCCCGGCTCAGGCGAGATGGAATTCATCCTCTTTCTGGGCGAGACCGAGCCCGCCCTCAAGGCGTCAGGCGAGGTGGAACCGAACTCTGTCACTCGAACAAGGGATGACATGGAGCCCTTATGCATCTAGAAGTTTTTTCACGTTCGGTGGTCATCGGTTCCACCTTTCGGGGTACCTCTGTATTAGGTCCCCGACAAGAGCCCCCGAGACTCTGTGTGATTCGGGTAGAACCACTGGAGGGTGTTTTTGATTTCGTTGAAGCTAATTTGTCGGGAGGGTGTGAAGCGCTTTCTGGATGGGTGTACCGAGCCCCGGGTGACTCGAGTAGAGTCGCCTGGGGGTTGTATCACCCCTTCGGGTAAGGTCAAGGACTTAATTTTTCATCAACTGGGTGTTTTTCCGAGTGGGTCGTGGCGTCCCATTTATCGGGACTGATTCGGGCCGTCCTCTTTGGTAAGCACGCCTTGGTGGCGGATTGTTCGTGGATTCCTTCTTAGTTGGGCGGGCGGGTGAGTTCTTTGGGCCTAGGTGGGCCAAAGAGAAGAAACGGGCCTTTGTGGCTTGTGCTTCCCGGTGGGTGGAGAGTCCGGATTCGCTTGGGGAAGGCGGACCGTCCGCCGAGATTTTTGGGATGAGAGGATAGGGGATCTGCAGCGTGTCCCATGACGTGTGACGTGGCGTGGCGCGGCGGAACCCGGAGATCGAGGCGACGGTTGCCTTCTTCTCGCGTCCGTCGCCCCCCTATAAACCATGGGTTCGCCCCTGTGGTCCCGTGTTTCACTCCCCCTTCCTTTGCGTTCAAACATCCGCCGCTAATCTTTGACCTCTTGCGCCCGCATTGCCACACCGCCGACCAACTGTGTTGTGTTTGACGCCAGTTAAGTTAAGCTCGCGCCGCCCTTCCCCCCCCGCTTCAATGGAGTTGTGGGGCGATCAAGCATCACTTCCGGCGTCTGGAGGGCCTCGTCGTCGCCGTGGGCCTTCTCCGCCCACTATCCGCCGGCCCAGAGTGGTTACTCCCGCGACGAGGGTGAGCCGGTGCTTTCAAGGGTATGTCGTCTCCTTTGCCATCTTCCATGAGCGGGATTCGGGGTACCCAAGATAGATTTCTTTCGGGGCTATTAGATTACTATGAGGTAGAGCTGCAAAGATCTCACTCCCAATGGGATTCAAAGATATGGCGGCGTTCGTTGCCTGCGCGAGGGTTTCTCGGGATCGATCCCCATTTTGATCTGTGGCGGTATTTCTTTAGCATTAGTCCGTCAAGAGGAAGATTGGGGGAAAGAAAGAAGTGAATGCGCAGATGGGGTGTTAAGATTCACCGCGCCATACCCGGTCGCGAGGTTACCCGTACATGCGTCGGCTACATCCAACAAGGGATGGCATTCGCGATGGTTTTATGTTAAGGATGATGTGAGTGCCACCCACCAAGTACACCGGACGTCTTATTGTGGATGCTCCGAGTCGGGGGTCAAGCGCCCCGACTAAAGACAAGAAACATATCTCCGACCTTCTCTCCGCCCTCCATACACTGAAGGGTCTGGGGTGTAAAGGGTCGGGAATTATCGGCGCCTACCACGCGAGGAGGGTGGCACCACCGATGATATACAGTGCTTCCCCGCATCGGATGATGCACGGATATCGTTCGAGGGGCGGTGCTTCGTTAACGAGGCGCTCCCTTATTCGGAAGTGGCGCGGCGTATCAAGGAGGCGACGGAGCCGACGAAGGATTCCGCCGGCAGGTCCTCGACATCGTGTATCCGGTGCGGGCATCCTCCAATGCGGCCGGAGCTCGGGTTCTTCAATTCGTAAGCCCTCTTCTCTCCCGCATTCTTTTATTTCTCCTGAATCTCCCTCTTTAACACTTGCTTCAGTAATGTTGGGGCTAGCCGAGGGGCTAGTCTTCAAGGATAGCCCACCACGCCGAAGAGACAAGGTTGTGGTGGCGGCGAATCGACTTCATGGACGAAGCGGGACAAGGAGGCAAAGGAGGAGATGAAGAAGGCGAAACGACTGAAGTAGGAGGCACGGGATCGGGGAGAGGACGTGAACAGTGAGGATGACGACGATGATGATGATGACGACGGCGACGACGAGGTAGCCGTCGACGTGGATTGGGGCGTCCTGGAGGATGAGGAGACGCTGACAAGTGGCCACCCACCGTGCGTAGGGCCCTTCGCTTTCACGCGGAGGGAAGTGAATCGATGAGGTCGATGGAGGAGGCCATGAGTCCGCCTCTTCGCGACGGGCGTGCCGCCGAGGACCGGTGGATGGGAAAGGCGAACTCGCCGCCGCCATCCCCGAGGCGACGATGAAGGGGAGCAGACTCGGTCGCGCACCCGTGAGACGATGGAGGGGGCGGCTCGTGCCGCGCTGCGACGAGAGGCGATGGAGAGGAGCGACTCCGGGCCGCGCCGACGAGATGGACCCCCGCCCGGAAAGGGGGGTAGGCATGAAACGGTCCCGCCCGGATGAGCAGGTATAGGGTGCGGGGATCCATCCCCAAAACGCTTCGCCGCCGAGGACGTCAACGTAAGTCGTTGATTCTCTGTTTTCATCCTTCTTCCCTTTTATTTTGACTTAATGGTTATTACTTTATGCAGAGTTCTTGCGGACGGGTCACCCTCGGGTGGCGCCCAAGAAGAGTCTCGCCCTTCAAGTGGGGACAGACGGCGTCGCTGGAGCCACCCCCTGTTTGGGCAAGAGTGGTGCTGCGATGTCGGGGCGCGTTGGCGAACCGACGGCGTCAAGGTGGCTCCCACACCGCGGAGAAATTCGAGCGAAGCGGTCTCTTCCGCGGCGGGCGTGGAATGCCGGCCGAGGGACCGTGATACCGCCGGTGATTTGGTGGTCGTGATCGCGCTTAAGCCAGATCACCGGACCTTGGTCGTGGTGGCACCCGAGGCGTGGTGCAATCCGCGTCGCCAGCGCCCATGTGGATCCACCGTGGCGCTCAAGCGGCCCAGACGGAGGAGGGTCCAAATGGGAGGTCTCTGCAGGTGCGGCGGTGGTGCCAAGACAGGTCGAGAGGAGCCGCCACCGCCCCTTTGTCGGGAGGAAACTGGCCCCTGCTGGCGGGGAGAGCCGCCGCTCCAAGGGTGGATGCTCAGGACCCGACGTCGGCTCTTTTCTCGCTCGATGATCATTCCGAGAGCATGGAGCGGGGGAGGGTCTTGACATCGGGATCTCGACCTTCTTGAACGCCTGGACCAGCGGAGGAGCCCTCCGTGAGATCGTTATCCCTACCACTCGGTATTTTACGGACTTTCTTCTTTCTTCATGTGTTTTTGTGTTCTCGTATTCTCGATATCAGCCTTCTTCCTCCTCGATTCTTGTTGCTCAGAGTCGGGATAAATCCCAATTCCTCCATGAGCATGAAGGCGGAGAGGGATCGCTTTCCGAGGAGGCCCGGCCATGAAAGCAGACTTGGCCGCCTGACTTACTCTTGTCAAGAGAGCGGGAGGCCCAGCGCGTCAGATGCGGAGGAGGCGACGGAATGTTCGAGGACCTGTCGGCTGGCGAGGTCTTTGGATGGAGAGGAGATTGCCGGACTCAAAAAGAGCGAGACGAGCTGCTGAGAGGAATGCATGCTGCCAATGAGAAGGCCAGTGAAGTCTCAAGGAGCTGGAGATGGAGCGGGACCTCCGTGGAAGGCCGAGAGTAGGGCCACACCCTCCAATGGA